CCCCTTTTCGGTGTATACCCCTTACCCATAAGCGCAAAGTTGGGAACTAAGATTTGATCAGCCTAGGTTCGGGCTGCAATGCGGGCGCCCTGCGATCCCCAGGTTGGGGCGATCCCACCCACTGGCCAGCCCCGGAGCCTCACCTAACCTCCGCGCCCTTGTCGGCGAGTTCCCGCTGCCGTCCCCTTGGCACGCGTTATTGTGTTTTCGGTGTATACCCCTTACCCATAAGCGCAAAGTTGGGAACTAAGATTTGATCAGCCTAGGTTCGGGCTGCAATGCGGGCGCCCTGCGATCCCCAGGTTGGGGCGATCCCACCCACTGGCCAGCCCCGGAGCCTCACCTAACCTCCGCGCCCTTGTCGGCGAGTTCCCGCTGCCGTCCCCTTGGCACGCGTTATTGTGCTGCCCACATCAGCTCCGCGGCTTCCAGAGAGTGGAAACTGCAGGGCGGGAGCAGCTGGAGAAGTGTGGGGCCAGACTCGATGCGCTCGGGGCCTCGGCCCAGCTGTGAGAACTCAGGTGTGGAAGGAGCGAAGCTGAAACCCGCCAAGCCTGTCTCCCGCGTCCCGCTTCTTCCGTCTCCTGCTCTCCCACCAGCTTTTTCTTTTCTCTTCCCGGTCGTCTTCCCTCTCTGGTCTCCGAGCCTCAGGCGGCATTAGCCTTGAGGCGTTGAAGAGTAAGCGTAGAGTTAAAAGACGCTAACCCTTGTTTAAGAGAGTGGGAAACTGAGGCCGGGGCCGCCCGCGCTGCCTTGGCAAATGCCTAGATTGTTTGCACCCGCGTTGCCTTGCTTGCTCCGCTGTTCTCTGCCTTACACGTTCCCTTTTCTGGGGCCTGGTGGTGGGGTTGCTGGACCGCACGTGTTGCCCAACCGCGCCGAGATCTGGGCACCCACCGACTTTTTGGTTAGGGTTCTTCCTCCTTTCTGCAGTCTCGCGTCTTTAAACGCCATACGGGCAGGCCCGGGGCCAAACAGTCCAAATCCCATCGCTTATTTGTGTATCCGTGAATCATCCTTTGTTCCCTCCTCACTTTTTTTTTTTTTTTTTAAATTTTCCTGGACGCAGTAAGGAAGGGGTAACTGAAATCCCGAGGCCGGGATTGTGGCGCTTCGGGTACCCAGGTGGTGAGCGATAGCTCATCTTCCCACTGAAAATAACTTAGGGGTGCGAAGATTGGCTGCCCCAACCAGCGGAGAGCACCAACATGTCCTCATTCTTTTCTGGTGGCCACCGAGGCGCTGATACCCAGCTTCAGCAGACTCAAGAACAGTGTAGACTTGAAAGCTGACCTTTTGCAGGCGCCTTGCAGGAGGGGCCAGCCACCTGTAGCTCTCAGATTTAAAGTAAAGGTCAGAGTTTCGGTGCAAATAGCGCTGAGGGCTGGCTCTTGCTGATCCCAGTTATACCTTCTCCTGAGCACGGTGGGGTTACAAACACATCTTGCTTTAGCTGCTCTTAGCCCTGTTCAACCTGCCCTGAGTTTTGACATTGCGGGAGTCCAGTGGACCATAAGTATCCCTTAACGGGGCTTTTCGAAAGCAGCCAGTCTGATGCTTCTGTGTTCAGAGACACGGAGCTATGTGCTCTGCAAGCTCCAAGTGCCAAGTACCTATAAGGCAGATAAGCAGGGAGCAGCCACTTGTGACACTTCGCAAACCTCATTTTATACTCAGCACAGGTGTTAAAACCTGGGTAAGGACTCCGAAAGCAAAGCAGGGTGTTGTAAAGTAATAAACCCAAGGTCTCATGGTGAATGACAGGGCTGTTTAACTCCCCACAGCTTTTTGTCAGCACTCGCTTCACGGAGTAGCTGTACACCGTTTTATAGGGACAAAAACTGAGGCACAAAGGTTTTAAGTGGTAGCCAACTTACCTACAGAGCCAGAATTAGAATCCAGGGCTCCCAGCTCCCCATCCTTATGTCCCATTCCATTGCCTCTGAAAGTTCCTTGTGAGAGCAGCGTGCGTTTCAGAGGCCAGCTCCTAAACATGTTCACCACTCCCCAAAATGAAAAGTAGCAAAAGTAGGGTTTTTTATTCTTGCTTAATGACAGTTGTCATGTCTTATTGAAGCCTGGGCACTTATCCCCAAACTCACTAAACATGATGAAAAGCAGTCCCATTAAGAGTGAAGTGAGAGGCCGAAATAGCTCAGTTGGGAGAGCGTTAGACTGAAGAGTGAAGTGATACAGTCATGAAGACCGAATGACCCTTTCTTGCAAAGGGGATTTGAAAAGGAAAGCAAGCTGAAGCAATTCTACTCAAAGCTGTATAGTGTGACAATTTGAAATTGAACAAGAATGTGAATGAAAGATATAAGATACTGAAAACTTACGTTTTCTGCACAACCAAGAAAGAAGGTTCAGGGGACACATTTGAAATGGTTTTCCTTATTAGTTATTACAATATCCAGGGGATATTCGTGCATTTGCTTCTGGGTGTGTTCACCGTGTTGTGCCATCTGTGCCTCACTGAGGGAGGTCCAGTTTGTCTACTCGATGTGTAACTTATGGGTTATGTTGTGTAACAACGTTCAATACTAAATAAAGTATGAGGAAAGAAATCAAAGATAGAAGGGAAAGATGGGCGTCCTGTGAGGTGCCTAGATTCAAAGGTAACGTTTTGGATTTCTGAATCACGTCCGTTTGCTTCATCACCAAAGAGTCATAGTTATGAAAAGTCCTTCCCCTATGCTTAGGGCAGGATGAGGGACTAAGGCAGACTTGCTGAACTAGGAGAACTGTTCTGTCTCCCTCTGTCCCCACCTCCCAGGTTTCGCGGCTTTACTTGCTGAGCGAGCGAGACATTTCGAGGTTGTGCTTTTTTTTCTAGCACGTGTTGGCACAGCCACCACAAAAAAAGCTGTCTAGGGCTTTAAATTGAACAAATCCCCACATGCTGCATTGGGTAGCAGCTGCTCCCAACCAGATCAAATACACACACACACACACACACACACACACACACACACACACACACACACACACGCCGCATGCGCGCGCGTGCATGTGTGCGCATGCGCGCGCACTCACCCCCTTTGAACAAATTGGTTACTTTGCTTACAGATGAATGGCGCGGGATCCAGTCCCGGCAGGGTTTAAGGAGAGCCCAGAGCTGGTTATGCTGACGTAGGGGCTGGGTTTGGTCGGAGCTTGTCTGGACACATGAAATCCCCAAACCGTCCTGTACTTTCGTGGGAAAGTTCTGGCGAGCCTTGGCTACATAGATACCTGCAGCCACAGGCTCAGCGGCGGCAGCGAAAGTTGTTGCCATCTATTGAGCAGTTATCGCTCCTAAAATTTGTCAATGCCTTGGGAATAACAACTCAAAACGCAGAGGACTTTTACGGAACTGAGTTCTGTCTTCACCGTATCACTGCACGTACAACCTGCAGGTAGTCATTAATCGAATGCTTCTCAGCAGGTCGGAAGAACACACTTTTGCAGGTTCTAGGGCGTTCAAGAAGAGGATGTACAGGTTGCTTGGAGCGGGTGGGTGGGGATGTGTTGCAAAAAAAAAAAAAAAAAATCCTCTTAGTCCAGAAATCCTATTTACCCTCCCTTCTTGGCAGTTGCTGTTCTTTGCTTAAAGCCTGGCACCAAAAAGTGTCTGAGCTGGTTTGCTCGAGACAGATCCCCCACATCCTGTTTCTGACCCTGTAGGTGCTCTTCCCTCATGGACACCTCCTACCTGTGCCGCTCTGAGCTCCCAGGGGAGGGAGAGGAACTTGCTCATCTCTCTGTCTCCCAGTGCCTAGCTGGGTGCCTGCCCCAGAACAGGGGCTTGAGAAGAGTTGGTTGTTCTACTGTAGAGTTCTACTCTAGCTGTAAGTTATCCCACCAAACTCAAGGGTACCCTGTTGTTTTATCTCTCTCTGCAGTGGCAGATTCAGTGCCTGACACATGGATGGTGCTTCACAATGTTTGAGTTAGCGTAGAACTAAATGGTACCTTTTTACTTTTAGCTAGATGTTTCTGTTTTATTTATTTACTCGCTTAAAAAATAGTATATTGAATACCGACTGTGCTCCAAAGCCCCAAATTAAGTTCTGGGTGTAGACAATGAATGAAAGAAACAAAGTCCTTGCCCTTTTTGAATTTACAATCAAGGAGTAGAACAATGTTCCACACAGAGCTTTAGCTGGTATTTTTTTCTAAATAGAAGATTTCTCTGCTACTTCTTGATTTAACAATTATACCTTCCCCCCACCATGTTCTGCATCTCAAAAGTCTCTGTATTTTTCATCCTCACAAGTCTAAGTTATGTTCTCTCCTTTCAGCCTATGTATACATTACTTGCTCTTGGCCTAGAGACCATACTGCTATCAACTATAGGACACGACAGCTACCCTTGGGATCCCAGCAACAAAGCCAGCGGTTCTCTTAACTCAGGATCTTCTGCCCCTCTATCGCTCTCCTCTTCTTTTCCAGAGATGTGGACCTCATTTGGATAGTTGCTTCTCTGAGTCCTTTGAGATTGCTGGTTTGGAGTCCCTGGTAGCATCTTCTGTTGTTCTTGGAAGGATCGGCACCCATACATTTGTTAAAGCTCAGCTCTCCGTGGTCTTGGAGTTGGCACTGGGCAGGCTGGAGTGTCCCTTCCCTTCGAAGGTTGTAGGCAGTCACCAAGCGCTCTTACAGTGCTCTTTTCCCTGAAACCTGGATGAGCTTTTGCCCATTCCCTGGCACCTGTGACTGCTCCCTTAATGTCATGGTTTTTGCAGATCTGATTGGACTTAACCTGCCCTGGAATACCCCAACACACTGTGCTGAAGCTTTATTGCTTACTGGACTGCTTTGTCATACAGAACTGAGATGGAACCGGACCCACATAAATTAGTTTTGTTGAAAAAAAAACCCTTAAGATATTCTGAAAGAAGTAGATAGCTGTGTTCTCTACTTTAATTGAAAATGTGCAATAAAATCTCATAGCATTCATCAATGTGGAAGATGCTTGTAGTTGATCAATTCACTTGTGATTACAGTTATTAATGAACTGCATTGGAATTTGCCTACAAAATGGATTTTTCCAAATTTCCAAATTCAATCTTTGAAATAAAAATGTAGTTGTTTTAATGTTAATTGGTAGGATATAAAGTGACATTATTCGTCATCAATAGAGATTGGTAAGCCAAAATTTTGGATGTTAGCTGTCCTAGTGTCACTGTGACAGCAGTGTTTCTATCTGTGTCACATCATAGATGATGCCCAGGGAGAAAACTCAGGGTCTGGAAAACAGGCATCGTCTAGTCAGTCGTCGCTCCCTTAGTCGGTCATCGGTCGCTCCCCAAGACAGGAGATGGTATGGATAGAAGTTAGGACTTTGATGTGAGATCTTGCTAGGTTGAAAGCTCATCTTAGCCTCAGAGCTGGGCAGCCTCAGGCAAAGTACTTAAACTGTGGACCTCCTCCCCAAACTCCTCCCCACCCTGCTTTCTCAGTAAAAGGGGAATTAAAATACAGCCCTGAAGGATTTTCATGTGGCTTCAGTGAGTTAATAGGTGAAAAATGTTTCGCATGGTATTTACCAGTAGTGCAAGGTAAGTACTCAATAACAGTGATTATTATTACATAGTTTATATATAATCTTAATGCAGACACATGCATATCTGTGTTTGGTTTTATTCTTGTTGTTTCAATCACTCTGGGGTGATCCCCAGTATCCAGATGGCCCCTCAGAATCTTTGGCCAGGAAATTGTTTCTCTGACCAGCTGACTGTGCTTCCCTGACTTGATTTCCCGCCATCCTCCCCAGCACGTGCTGGGTTGGAGAATCAATGTACAGACATGTTTGGGAAGGATATGTTGAAGAAGAAAAATATTTAATATAATGTGTTCTTATCTTTTACTAGAATTAGTAGGCATATCATAAGCTGAGGTTTCTTGTCTAGTTTATTTGCTCTATGAGTAAAGATTACCTCTCCTATGTTTGCTGTCTTCTTTTCTCCCAGCACATAGATAATCTTAATTCCTCTAATTACAGGCCTGGCCATAGAATTGGATTCAGTTGATTCTTGCCAACTAGCTACAACTTGAAAGATTCCAGCTCTAGCCTTTTCTCTGGCATCAGAGAGCTCTGCGACTTTGGGTAAGGCACTTACCTCTCTAAGCCTCCATTTCCTCCTTTGTGACAGAGGCTGGTAATATCTGTGACAAAAAAAGACTTCACTGATGATGTGGAACCAACCAAGACAACATTTATAAAGAGCTTCTTTGAAGCCATATATGGAAGCACGTGCCTGTAATTCCAGCATTCTGAGACTAAGGCAGGAGGACTGCATATTTGAGCCCAGCCTGGGCCACTTAATAAGACCCTGTCTCAACCAAACCAACAAACAAACAAATGAAAGGCACACAGTGCAAATACCCTGGGTTCATCCCCAGCATTGAAAAAAAAAATTGTTAGAAAGTATTGATTGCTATTTGGTGATAAAGAAATAGTCTTGTTAAGATGATCAAGTCTCTTGCTAGCTTCCTGGTATCCCCAGGAGGAGCCATCACCTCTGTGACATGAGGAGAGCAGGCTGATTCCTTACCTCTCCGGACCTTCTATAGTTCCATGTCGATACTGATCTCCCTTTGGAAACTGGAAAAAGCAGAGGCTTTGAGTCCAGAGCACTGGGCTCAGTCCCCTATTGCACAGTAGACCTTTTAAAAGAACTGTCCCCGAGGGCTCAGCATATGTATTTTTGAAAATAAACAGCAGTTTAGCTGAAGGGCAAATGCTTGCAATGAGATCAGCTGTAAGCGGAGCCCTGAGGTGACAGAAAATGGATCAGACTCAAGTCTGTGATTTCCAAACTGCAGTGCTCCGTTTGTGAGACTACTTTGCTCTCCTCTGTTGAATTGTTGTTGGCTGCACAGCAGTGCTTGCTGTAGGAACAGGGCTGGTGCCTTGGTCCCCACTGGGTAGGCTCTACTACTCTCTCAGGGTGCTGCTGCAGCATTTCCGAGAGGGCTGCCCCCTGGCGCCTGGCCCCTGGCCCCGCGGTGTGCAGCTGTGTCAATAGACCTTTGAAGTCCGCACATACCAGCTGACTGGCTAGAAGCCCCCCTGAGATGGTCACCGTGACCTTTATGACAGGAAGTTCAGAAAGCCATGCAGAAGCCAGCTTTGCTGACTGGGTCGGGGAGGGAAAATGACGGGTCCTTGATGAAAGCTTGGGAGAAACTCACCCAGACTCTCAGTACGAATCTAGCTATGCTGGTTACTTGCCACTCTCCTGCCCAATGGTTCCAGATCAGTACAGTGATCTGGTTTCTTTTATTCTAACCTCAATAACCGCTTGGGTAAGACTTCAGCATAGTGACCATCTGCTGGCAGTGCTGCGACAGCCAGGACTCGGTTCTGAGTCATCAAAACACGGACAGACCGTGGCCACCAGAACTTCAGTGTAATTTTTTTTTTTAATTTTAGTGTTTTACATTTTAGGCCACCGATTATCTTTTTTCAAGATTTCCTGAGAGCTTCCTAGGTGGCAGGCACTGTGCAGGTACTTGACATCAACACTAGGGCTGTCTCATTGAACTGCAAAACATCCTGAGAAATGCAGTGACCCCTCAAGTTACAACTGGCTTGACATAGGAACAACTTGGTTTACAACAGGAATTTTATTTTTAACTTACGAACAAAGTCTTGAGTTATGAGCCAGATGCTGGCTGCTTACACTTCCAGGCGATTTCAGGTACAGATTTAACCCTTAAAGAGTTCTTGAAGAAACATTACAACATCCTTTCCGGTGTGGGGTTGAGAAATCCTGGGCCATTGGCTCTCAGAGGACACTAAGAGCTGCCTGTACACAGGAGAGAGACTTTGAAGGCAGTGTAGAGGAGCCTGCGCCTTCAATTGACCAACTCGAGTTACAACCAGCCCTGAAAACAACTTGAGTTCATAAGTTAAGGGTCCTCTGTAGGATGTTCTTATCCCCATTTCTCAAAGAAGTGTTGGGAGGTTCCAGCTTGCTGAGGGTATGGTGGCCTGCAGGGAACATGGAGCCGTTTGAGGCTCTGGCCTATGTGCTTAACGCCTGAGCTGCCTCCCCCCTGCAGAGGTGCTTGTTGGGTGACATGCTAGGTAACTAGGAATTGGGGTCTCTGGTTGACCAGAACACCTTCTTTTCTTCCTGTGGCCCAAGTCCAAAGCCTTATAGTCATCTTCTCCTCATTGCCATCCTTAATCAGGATACGGACTTGGTCAAGGAGTCTTGTCCATGTGTCCCAGGTCCCCATATGCCTGCCTCTTCACCCTTACCCTCATTACCACATGTCTGGATCTTTGTCACTGGGTTTTCCCTTTCCTATCTTCTTCTCTCTGCTAGATCTGCCTCCTTTTTTTATTGTTATTGGTACATTTTAGGTATACAGTACAGTTACATTCATTACTGGGATCTTATACCTTTACATGACAGGTCTTTGTTTTCATTTTTCCCCTTGTCCCTGCCCTCCCTTCACCCCCTCCTCCCCTCCCCACTTACAAACACTTTATTTCCATTTTTTCATTTTCTCATATTTTTTTCTTGTCCCTTATTCCCTTTCCCTTACCCTTCCCATTTTCCCTACACCTTTAGCCCTTTTCTTCCTATTTTACATTGTTAATTATCCCATTAGGATCTGTGTACTATTTTAGTTTTTCACACCAGAAAAACTATTCGGTATTTGCACATGTGTGACTTATTTATTTCACTTAGGAGTATATCCTCAAAATGTATCCATTTTCCTATGAATGAATCTAATTTCTCATTCTTTATGGCTGAGTAGTATTCCATTTTATAGAAAAACCACATCTTCTTTACCCAGTTTTTAACTGATGGGCAAATGGGCTATTTCCATGTTTTAACTATTACAAACTGTGCTCCTATAAACATAGGTGCGCATATGTCACTGTGATATAATTCTTTTAATTCTTTTGGAAAGATACCCAGCAGAGCTATGGCTGGGTCAAATGGAACCTCTAGTCCCAGCTCTTTGAGGTATCTCCATATTGATATTCATAGTAGTTGCACCAGTCTGCACTCCCACCAACAATGGAGAAGGGTTCCTTTCTCCCCACAACCCCACCAACATTTGTTATTGTGTGATTTCTTGATAGCAGCCATTCTTTGTGGGGTGAGGTGGAATCTCAGTGTTGTTTTCACCTGCATCTCTCAAATGACCAGTGATGTGGAACAGTTTTTCATATATTTACTTGCTGCTTTTACTTTGAGAAATGTCTGTTCATTTCAGATGCCCATTTTTGAATTAGGTCTTTATATTTGGGGGGCTGATTGTTTCGAGTTCTTTACATTTTCTAGATAAGAGTCCTTTGTCTGAGGAGCAGCTGGTAAAAAATTTTTTCCCACATTTTAGGTTGTCTCTTAGTTCCGTTGATGGTTTCTTTTGCAGTGCAGAAGCTTTTTAATAAGATGAGATCCCAGTTGTTGATTCTATCTGCTAGTTCCCATGCTACTGAGGATTTGTTCATAAAGTCTTTTCCTATGCCAATGTCTTCCAGAGTTCTGCCTAACTTATCTTCCAGCAAGTTTAGTGTTTCTGTTTTAATATTTAGATGTTTAATCCACTTGGATTTTAATTTAGTGCATGGTGACAGATAAGGGTAGATCTGCCTCCTTTTAATGCTACGTTGTCCTGCAGCATCCCAGGGACTGTAGGGCTCATGGGATAAAGTCAGAACTCAGGGGTTGACCTTAAGAACCTTCCCCTTAGGCTGTCCTTGGAGTTCCTATCCAGGCTGGCCCGTCACTCCCTGCAGTAAGTGAAGGTTGCTCTGTACCTTCTGACCTCAACGTCTTTCCTATGCGGCATCTTCTTCTTCCCCACCCCTTTCAAAATCTTATCCCATCTGACATAGACCCTGTCATAGCCCAGCTTCAGTGAAGTTTCCTCCAGTTGCTTGCAAGAATGATCCCTCCTCAAGGATTTGGTAATCTTTAACCAGTACATCTCACAGGCTGCTTCACTGTAATTTGTGAGGGAACATGTTTCCCCAAATCCCAGTGGGAGATGATGGGGTGTGTGTATGTGTGTGTGTGTGTGTGTGTGTGTGTGTGTGTGTGTGTGTCCTCTGTTATGGTCATCGGTGTAGTGCACCAAACACAGAATAGATGTTTACTCTTTGGAATGTTTGAACTAATGAGCAGAGGAAACCAAATAGCAAGAAACAAGCCACCTGTAGCGTGTTCACTCCATGCCAGGCAGTATTCTGTGTGTCTTAAAATCATTCCTGAAAGCCTCGCAGCAACCCAAGAAGTAGGTGACAGAGATGAGGAGTCCAGGACACAGCTAGTCGAGGCAACTTGTCAAGGAATTAATGATGGACCCGGGCTTCACATCTGAGCAGCCCGCCTCTAGAGTCTGTGCTCCCTGGGAACTGTCTTTCCAAGACTCTTTTACCTCTGCGGAGAAGGTCCTGGCTAATAACAGGTGTGTCCTTGTATAAGAGCTACTGTGTGGACTTCTAGATTTAGCAACGTGGACTGGGAAATCCGAGATACTGGGATGAATGGGCAAGATTCAGTAGCTGGTTGGATGCACAGAACAAGAATAAAGACAGGGGGGCAAGGACCATAAAGTTTTGAACTTGGATAACAAGGAGAGGATGGAGGTGTGGCAGAGATGTGCTTCCGCAACAGGCACCAGGCAGACTATGGGGCCAGCTTCCAAGTGCTTCTTTGGCTGCTGTTGCCTGGATGACGGGAGCTGTGTAAAAATGAGATACGTTTTCCGTGCTCTGTAAAACACAGTAACTTTATTTTGTAATAGACTGTGGGCCTGGGACTCCTATAACGTCCCACCTTTGGCATGAGCTGATTACTTGGTTAATAATCCTAACCAGCCCCACTCATGCATGCTGTGTTTACCACTCCTGTTTTATAATTAACTTTTATATTTTCCTTAACTTTACAACTCAGTCTGCACACCACAGCGTCTACAAACCCATATTTATCTAATTTAGCGAATATCTGCATGCACTGCAATTAGGCGCGCGTGTTGCGTGATCACCGTCCTTTGCTAATTGCATGATTCCTTTTGAGTTTAATCATCAGATGGCATCGATTATTTTTAAATGTGTACGTGGTTTGCTGCTGGCTA